GCGCGGCTCCGGCCGCTGGCCGCTCTTCCCGCCTCGGGCCGGGGCTCGCGGTCGGCGCCTTTGTGCACAGAGCGCGGCTCGAGCAGCAGACACGGCCTAGCTCGGCGCCGCACTCGCTAGGCCTCTCCGAGGGAGCAGAGAGCGATCGCTCACAGCCAGACTGCGGTGGCAGATGCGGGCTGCGGCCCTAGCGCCCGCTATTTAAAGAGTTCGGCCACTTTCTTAATATAGCCGCCCAATGGGAAGCGAGCCGGCTGAGCTCATCGCTGCGGAGCTGGGCTCGGATTCGCCCCCGCGGCAGCCGGGGCGGGGCCCGGCGGGCTTGATTGACGGCCCAGGCCGCGGGGCTGGGAGAGGCGGTGACTCGGGAGTCTGCGCCCAGGCTGGCGCGGCGGGACTGTAGCGGCACCCCGGCTCCTTACTTGGCCACCGCGTTAGCTCCGGGGCGGGGGACCGGAATTGAGGGATTGGAGCGGGGTGGGGTGGGGTGGGGGGGGGGGGGGGGGGGGGCGCCTGAGCGAGCGGGTCTGGAGAGGCGGCACTTTGGGGGGCCTTGAGGACTCCCTCCCACTCCAAACTGCCTGGCTTCCTGGCAAAGTCCCTGCGGGTGATCGGACCTGTGGGGGAGGGGGCAGCTCCTTTAACACGGTGTTATTCTTAAACAAACAGACGCGCACGTTTGTTTATAAGCCTGGGGTTTTTTGTCTTGTTTTCCTCGTTCTTCTAGAACCGGCCCCTCCCCTGGTCTGGTCAGTCACTCCACCTCCCCCCCACCCCGTGCTGGCCCTAGGGCTGTCCCAGTTTGGGTTCTCCAGGCCAGGCAGGGTGGACCTCTGGCTCTTTCAAGTCACAGGGCATGAGCCTTCCTGCTCCCTGCTCCCGGGAAGATTAGGGGAAGGAGGGACAGTGAAGGGAAGGTCAAGGCTGACTGATGAACTTCGCATCTGCTTGGCGAAAAGTCACCAACAGAAAAAGGCAGCTTGGGCCGCAGTTGGCCTGATGACTGCGGATCCCAGTAATAAGGCCGAGCACAGTCTGACATGGCTGGTGCCAGACTCCCGCCGCCGTCCACACCCCACTGGTCAGGTGAGGGGACTTGCAGACTTGCAGACTAGGACGCAGGACACCAGCGTCTGGCAGGAGCTAGGTCCCGTGCTCCTGCGGTGCCCCAGGATTTAATCTACCAACTGGTGGGTCCTGCAGGAGATGACACTCTGATCTAGAAGGACCTAACTCAACTGATTCCAGTGGATAAAAGAGGTAAGAGGGAGGGGAGGCGGAGAGGGCAAGGGGAAGAGTTTGAACAAAGTGAGAGGTGGAAAGAAGAGAATGTACTCTGGGAACTGGGAGCGCCTGGTGAGCCTGCCTGTGGGCTCTGCGTGGGCCCAGCCTGGGAGGGCCCAGTACCAGCACCACCGGCTCAGCTGGCCCCACTGTCGGGTGGGATGCTCACTGGTCGTCAGCAAAGAGGGGACCCCCTCCCTTCGAGGCGGTCATCCCCTTATCCTTCTGCTTCTCTAAGACTGGACCCTGTCTGAGGGGCCAGGGTTTTGTCTGAGCTCGGCATCTGAAGCCTTCACACCATGGCTGAAGCCTTAACACCCTAGTAAGTGGCTGCAGGAAGTTAACCTGAATGTTCAGGAACTCTGGGGTCCCTTACCTCAGCCCCCAAACTCCGCTTAAACAATCACCCAACCAAGCCAATGCTGTTTTCATGTGGAGTTGGTAGGTGGACACCACAAGCCCAGTCAGGTCCAGCAGACATCAGTGGGCCTGGCGCCTGCCTCTGGGACCCTCTCGCTGGGTTAGCCCTATTACCGAGGCCAACTTTCTGGTTTTGTTTTTGTTTTTCAGATCTGAGGAATGAAACTGTCAACAGTAAATAACTTTCCACGAGGGCATCCCAGGGAAAAGAACACCTATTTTCTGGTCATCGGTTTAGGACCTAGGACTTCAGGTTGAAATGTTTTCCTTTTTTTTTTTTTTTTCAGTCTGCATATTAGAAAAGTCTTAACCTAAATTTTCATTTGGCTTATTTTAGTCAAAACTATAGTTGTTACATGCTTTCCTTGGTCTTAGTAGTGTTTGGCGATCTTGGCTATGTTCTTAAGCTGCAAATATTAAGGAGATATCAGGCAACTAAAACTTTTTTGAGGGGGAAAAAGACTGATATAGTAAGACTTGGGTAAGGTGTGCAGTTCACTCATTTCCTGGTTATCATGTTATATGAGGTGTTCCAAGCTTGAATTGCAATATGGCAAATAATTTCCAAATCTTTCAGTTGGGGCATGTGCCATAGTCAACAAATAGGAAAAATCCATGTTTGGTGGCAACTTCTTTTCCTGGTATTCACTTTATTGTCTCAGACACATTGACAGGCTGGTGGAGACCAGCGCCTGCAGATGCAGGATCAGCCTCCCCAAAATGGGTGAGGTGCCATGGCCTCCCTGTCTCCACCCACCTTTGCTGTGCACTCCCGCTGGAAGGCAAGGCCCAAATGATTGTCTCTGAGAACACATCATTTTAATGTTCAGCTTATTAACTTAAGTTTATTAGCACATCAATTTCTTTACATGGCAGATACCCCCACCAGTGAGAGAGGGAAATCTCCTTCATTCAGAAGGGGAATGTTAATCTGGCTACTCTTGACTTACCCATTTTGCTTTTTGTTTTGTCCACTGGCCCACAGCGCCCCTGTAATCACCCCTCAATGCCCCCAAGGCCATGGGCTGGGGTGATCATTAGAGTTTAGTGCCACCTAGTGGCAGTCCTTACGGATTTCCTTTTCTAAAAATAAAAGTAAATCAATGCATATATTACACTTTATAGCGCATCTTACACATTTTATGTTGTATCATAAAGTATGTAATGATATATTTATATGGAATTGTTTATCTGATCATTAAAAATCTTATCTAGTCAAAGGCTTGCATTTTATGATGTTTTAAGATCTTTCACAAGATGTAAAACTCTACAGAATGTTTCATAGTAGGTTCTTTAGAAACTCTTCACATACATACTTATAGACATGTATGTTTTTTCATATGTACACTAAAAAAAAATTAATTCCTCCCTAGTTAAAAAGTAACTTCCACAAAGAAATTAAAAGAGGTAAAGTCTTGGGAACCTCAAAATTTACGTAACAATGGATTTCCCTTTTTCCTAATTGTGTACATAAATGTAAAACAACTGTAGCCACAAAAGCCAACTTTTTTTCCCCCGGTGAACAAAACCATTATTGGATATGCTGGTATAATTAGAAGTAATACTCATTTATTTACTAATAAGCATTTACTGGGAGCCACTAATGCAGTAGACATTCCTCAGAGCCATTTGTTGTTTTCTAGTTTAAAGAGAAGCTTAAAGTCTGTTAAATAAAAATCCAGCCATAATTTTAGAGCTCGAATTGAGCCTACTGGATGATTCATGAGTCGGGCAGCATCCCATCTAGCAGATAGGAAGGTGCAGCAAGAACTCCAAGGAAATGGAGTATCTCAGGTTAAAAAGAGGGTGGGACAAGGTTATTTTCAGAAAAACAAAAACGTGATGATTATTTAAGACAAAGGCACCTTCCCTGAGGGTAAGGCCGGGAGTCTTACACTGAGGATCTCAGTGGTGCTGACATGGAAGCTCCAGACGAATGGTTCCAATTAGGCGTGCAGTCTTGGTGGGGTGGGGGAGACTGTTGGGGTGGGAGTGGGATTTTATTTGTCCTGTTAACCTGAAAATTCAGGAGCCCAACGAAAGGGCAAGACATGTTTATTTGGGATCCAATAATTGCAATTCAGGTACATGGCTTGGGGTAGAAAATGTAAAATTTGTCCCAAAGTCAGGGATTTGAATGGGAAAAAAGAGAAAGATAAGGTAAGGGATTAAAGAGTCATTACTGTTAACAAGCTTAAATTACTCTTGGCTATAAACGTTGGTTATTGATTGTCTTGAAAGGATGCAAAAGAACTGACTGATTCTATCCTTCTGCTAAAAAATCCATAATCATCAGTTCTCATGGTAAGTTATCTCTGGATAACTTCTGAGACAATTGTTTGTTTGAGGGTTTCTTGTTTCTTACAGTTGCTTTTTGTCCCCAACTAAAGATCTTCAATCATTTCAAATGAGACAGGTAATGCCATTTCTCTGTAATAACTGACCAGCTTCATTTTCTTTTCACTTCTGGTTGACTTTTTGTTTGTTTATTTATTTATTTATGCTTATGACTTACGTGGAGTTTATCCTTTTGCATTTCCATTCTTTTTCTTATGACCCTTCCCCATTACTTCTGGTAACAATTATGCTGAGTTCAATTTTTTATTTATCCTCTCATTTAGGTATGATTTTTTTTTTTGGTTATTTACATTCCACAGATGAGTAAAACCATCCAAAATCTGTCTTTTGTTTTTTTCACGGATTTCACTCCATCTCATCCCCTCAGGGTGCATCCATTTTGCTCCAAATGCCCCACTTCATCTTCCTTCCTAACTGTGTAATATTCCATTGAATACATGCCCCATGGATTGTCTATCCATTCATCTGTTGAAGGACACTTGGGTTGGTTGCATGATTTGGCAATTGTGTACCTAGGTGTATATGGATCATTATGTATTACATTCCCATGTTATTTGTACATATGCATAATGGTAGTATTATTGGGTTAAATGGAGTGCCGATTTCTGCTTTCGTGAGACATCTCCATACGGTTTTCCCCAAGGCCTATACCACCTTGCATTCCCACCCACAGTGAATGAACGTTCCTTCTTCACTGCAACCTCACCAACATTTGTTAATTGCATTCTCTTTTATATGGGCCATTCTCACAGGGATGAGGTGGTAACTCAGTGTGCCTTTAATTTGCATTTCTTTTATAACAGGCAACACTGAACATCATTTATTCTATGTTATGTAGGCCATCTGAATGTCTTTAGAGCAGTATCTAGTGAGGTCCTTCGCCCATTTTTTAATTAGGCCATTTGTTTCTTTGCTGTTGGAGAGTGTGACTACTTTATAAATGTTGAAGATTAACCTCTTGTCAGATGTATAGATGAAAATATGTTTCTTGTTCTATAGGGTGCCTTTTTGTTCTTGTCAGGTTTCTTTTGAGGTACAAAAGCTTTTAAGCCTGATACAGTTCTTGTTTATTTTTGCTTTCTCTCTCTGGCTGTAGGGGCTGTGTTCCCAGACACAGTCTTTGTGGTAGATGTCCTGTAGTGTGTCCCCTTTATTTTCCTCCCAGTACTTTCTTGTTTTGGTTTTTATATCCACATCTTTTATCCATTTTGAGTGATTTTTCCATTTTAAAGATGGTGTCATAGATGCTGTCTTTGCACAGCCCTGAACACCACTGACTTCAAAGGGCTCAGGTTCTCAGGTGGCTGATTTGGGTCAGGTTGGAACCCCCCTCACACCCCGCCCTACTTTCACAGCTGGGCACCTCCATACTTCTCTTCTGTCCCCTGATGTGACAGACCTCCCACCCCAGCCCCCAGCCCCATTCTTATCCAACACTGTGGACTAGATTTTCTTGAACGGTCGAGACTGCTTGGGCCATATTTCCATGGTGACTTTGTCCCTTTTCAAAAAGATAGTCAAAATTCAGACCTTGTCTAATTCTCGCAGAAAAGCAGGGGGTATAGATAGCTTTCTGGAACTGTCATATCAATCTTAATTTTGGATTCAATTCCATAAATGAGGACCGCCAACTTTGCGGAGCAGGGGTGAAGACACCCGTATAAGCAATGCGTAGACCGACGCAGACACACGCAGAGTGGGAAGAGTCTTTACTAACTTGTACATGAAGGCAGAGCTGACTGTACACCGGAGGTCATGTTTGAGCAGGACCTTGAATAAGAAATAGGATTTTTCCAGAAAGAGGGGCCCGTGTGTACTCGCTGGGACATTAGCGAAGCATGTGGAGTCTTGAGAAGGGAGAAGGAGCCACAGGCAGAAGGAGAAAAGCAGCGCTCCGTCCATGTGTGAGCAGCAGGGCTGAGGGCTGTGTGACGGCAGGAAGAAAGAGGAAGGTCACAAGAACGTACCATTACATAAGTGCTCTCATTACAAAATCCACCCCAGCGAATGCTTGCTGTTTCTGTGGCGTATGCTGAAATTGCACATACGTTTATTAATTCAGCCGAAGTTACAGAAACTGATGTGGAGAGGCAGGAGCAGAGAGCAGCAGTGTCGTGCCGGGAGGCCAGATATCTGCTCACCTTAAGCCTTCTGGTTCCGACCCGGGTAGCCCTGAGCAAATCCTCTCTAGGGCTCAGTTTCCCCTTGGTAAAATGAGAAGCAGAACACAGAGCTGGGAAACTCAAATGTCCCTGGGGTCCGATAGTGATGTGTACAAGGCACTGGGCAGGGCAGGGAGAAGGGGCCTGAAAAGTAGACTATTGTGTTGCCCAAAACGGGCAAAGGCAGAGAGGGCTGGACCCAGCTCAGAGCCAAAGTAAGGCTTCCGACCAGCTACGTTTCATTTTAACAGATCCAGGGGGCTGCAGAAAATAATATTGTTAATCTTTCATCAAATGAACAAAAAGAACTCTTCCTTATTAATTTCATTTTTCAAGACCTTCTTTTATTTGAATTGTTTATACTGAGATCCAAAAGTTGAAATATTCCACTGGAATATTACGTTTTTTAAATGAGTTATTCTTACAGCTAATGGGTGGGGAGCACTCAGCAGGATGGGAGAAGTGAACCCCCTTATGTCAGGCCAGAAGGCAGTAACCTCAAGGGTTTTTGCCTTCCCTCTTTTTAGTTAGTCTTGAAAGCAAATGAGCTAATCAAAGTATTTAGACAGGGATGATTCACTGTATTGTGTTCTCTTATGATGTCAGACTTTTGCAATCGGGAGGAGTTGAACTCACAATGAGTTTCCAGCCCCAGCGCCTTACCCCTGAGATGTGTCGGGCCTGTTTCCAGCAGGCGGCAAAGCCTGTGTTAGGAGCCGTTGCTTGGCACCCG